CAAACCTGTGACTCTTTGGTGCTCAGCCAATGCTCTAACCACTGAGTCACACTGGCCAGGGCTCCGTCTCAATTTTTATCTGCCACACATGGATGTGGGACCAACCCTTCCACATCTCTATCCCTCCTGTCAGTCTGGATGTGGCTTCTTCTTTAATTCCCTAGTGGTAGGATATCCATTCAGCCAGATTTCAGGTGGTTGCTATGTACTTGAGTTGTAATTTTGACGTGGTTGGGAGAAGAGGCAAGTACCATGTTTACCTACACCACCATCTTGACTGGAAGTCTCTCATTCTATTTTTTAATAGACTATATTTTACCTGATATTATTTGTTTTAAACCAGGGATAAACAGGAATTATCGGGTATCAAACAAGACAGGCTCAGTGAGACACTCTACCCACACCCCGCATTTTCTTTCTCCAAAGCCAGAGCTCCCTTTTGATCCAAAGATCCAAATGCTTAGTAGAGAAAGCGGATAGCCCCACTGTAATTTCAGAACCCCAGTGATCTCAGCAGAGTTGGTGGATACAATTTCCGGCCAGCGCCAAAGACAGGACAGTAGCACAACTGAGTAATTGTTTTGTAATGAACAAAAATCACGTGCAAACAGGAGACCTGAGTCTCCAACCTACATAACCTTGAAGATGGCTCCACCTCCTCATTATTCCCTCCAGGAGTCTGAGAAGTGTGGGTGCATGTGGCAAGGGACAAACCCCCACCTCATCTTTCTGAATCTTTCTAGAAAAGTGTCAGCTCCATTATACATAATGTCAAGGTTAAGAACACAGACTCTGGAGCTACGCTGCCTGGGTTTGAATCTCTGCTTTACCACTTTAGAGCTGTGTGACCTTGGGCAAGGTATTAACCTCTCTGTTTCTTCATCCAGAATATAGGCCAATAAAACCACCTATCTACAAGGTTGTTAGGCAGATTTAAATAAGTTAACACATGTAAAATATTTAAAATAGTGCCTGGCACATAGTGAGTGGTCAATAAAATTTAAATCACATTATTTTTATGTAAGGTTCTTTGAAGGGGGAAAAAAACTAGTTCTGGAAAAAACTGAAAAAAGTATTCACAATGAAGCAAGACATGAAAAATCCTTTTTAAATAATTTAACAAAGAATACAAAATTGTTTTTTATACACTCAGCTTTGTAATACCAAAAAAAAAAAAAAGACTAGAAAGAAATATACTAAAATACGTAAAAATGACCTTTGATTATTGGTAAGTTTTCTGGTTTTTTAATACTTTCTATACTCTCCAAGTCTTCTATAATGGGCATGTACTGTGTCTATCAAAAGGACAAAATAGAAATGCTACACTAGTGGCAGGGCTTCCTAAGGACAGGGCAGGGCAGCGTGCTCAGAGGGGTGTGGAGTTCTTCCCCTTTAGGTTTATCAGGCGTCTCGAGTGCTCCTGTTGTAAAGTCTCACGTTCTTTTCCAGTAACAGCAACTCAACTCCTTTTAGCAAGCCAAACTTTCATTAGAGTTCTAAGGCTTCTCAAAAAATCAGGCTAGTTACCTGCCTTCCAAGAAGAAGTTTCTGGAAAATTGTTCTTCATACTATGGACAAGCTAATGAATGTCTCAGACCCTCTCCACAGAGTTCAGCCCCTGCCCTAGAGTCACAGGGATCCTTGTCCCTCCTCCCCCTCGGTGGAGAAACCCATCCCAAAGCAGGGCCCAAGACATTCTCTTTCCAGCACACCCTTCCCTCCCACCCTGACTTGGTACATTCCTGCTCTCAGGTGTGGTTCCCACGTGCCCTCCTCTCTGAGGACTTTCCTCATCCAACCACGATGAGCTCTAGAGCAAAGAACACTGAGAAAGACACTGTCATGGGACTGTGCCAGCAACTAAGCTCCTTTGAGATTTGGCTTCTGCTGAAAAATATTCTATCAACCTCAGCAGGAAGGTGTTAAGGTTAAATGCAATTAAAAATGTAAATATATTTATTTTATCCTGTTGATTCTGCTGCCCAGAGCTCATCACTTGTTTAAGATCACTATTTAACACATATATTGGCTGGGCAGCCAGGGGTGAACAGGGCAGCAGCTCTCAAAGGAGCTCAGGGTCTCCTGGGAGATGAGCAGGTCAGTAATGATGATGTGACACCTGGGTGCTCTGAGAACAAAGAGGAGTGCACGACAGCAGGTACAGGAGAAAACTTCCCAGAGAGAGAGCTTAGCTGAGCTGGAGGTCAGTGCTTATGGGATGGACAGGAGCAGGGAAGGGTTCCAGGTAGCATGAGCAGCATTTATCAGGGCTCAACATAAAGGCTGGAAGGGACTGTATCTGTTTCTTCCCCCACATATTCATGATAGAGGGCAGACATAAATATTCATCTTGGTAGCAAGAACCATGCCTTACCGAGTGCTGGCAGGTGGTACAGCCTGTGTGCGCTCCTTGTTGAATAAATAATTATGAGAGTGGATACGGGGGTGGGGGTGGATCTGAAAGTTATAGGTGAGAAGCAGCTTTAAATGTACAGCTGTTTACATTATATTCCAAAGCATTCTGGGCAAAAGGAAATGTTTAGGAATGTGGAGCTGGGCTTGCTGCTGTGGGTGAGGAATTTCTGCCTTTTCGCAGCTGATTGTCCTGGAGCCTGGTCCTCAACATCCTGGATGAATGCATGTGCACCTCAATCCCTGGCAACTGTGGTGGAGTCTTCGAAACAAGTATCTTCAGACCTCTCCCCAGACCCTTTCCTGTTCCTGTATTCACCACAAGGACCCTTGGCCACACCGCTGGTGTAGCAGTGACCCCATTGTCCCCACTATCATTCACAGTGGGTGTATCCTGTCTTCCTAAAGATGGACACGGTTTCTTACCACCAAGGAGCACTGACCACCCTGGCCTCTGTGTAAATTTCCCCTCCAATTTCACCATAGCTGAAGACAGCCCCTGAGGATGACTCTACCTCTTCTAGCTTTACTTTCTGCAGCCAAAGAACATGGTCATCCACATGTGGGTTTGACAGCACCTTTGTGAGAAATCCTTTCCCACTAAGAAACTGAATTAGGAAGATCGTAAATTCTTACACTCAAGGAACTGCCTAGTTCTTAGGTCGTACAAAGGTGTGTGGAGGGAAAGGGGCTAGTTATGTGCCAATTGTAAACTCATGCATTCCCCAGCCTCGAAAAGATGTGTTTTCTTGAAGAAGTAGTCTGCCTTTTATTTTCATCATCTAAGAAAGAAATATGTCCAGTTTACCCAAATGTGAGCTCACCTAAAAGCTTTGCTGCAGAAGTACACATATTGCAATTTTAAAATTAAGTTTTGAGTTTATAGCTGAATTAGAAATCCCATTTGTTTTGCCAAACAAAACTAAACAAAGTACTAAGCTAAAAAGGAAGACAGTTTTGACACTGAAAGATTTGATTATTTGGGGGGAAAGTTCAATATGAATGATGTCATACATAAGAGAGAAATATCTAAAGATTCAAGGACACACTTATCTTTATCGAACACTTAGCACATGCCAGGAAGTTTTAAATGCTCTTGTACATGCAGTTTATTTAATCTTAACAATCCCACTCCTCCTTTTATAGATTAGGAAACTGAGGCAAAGAGGGGTTAAGTATGTCACAGGCTAAGAAGGGGTGAAGTTTGGATTTGAAATGGGCTGGCTCTGGAGTATGTGTCTTTGCCCACCATAATATATTCCTTAAAGAATCCTCAATGAGCCCAGCCAGTGTGGCTCAGTGGTTGAGCATCAATCCATGCACCAAGAGGTTGCTGGTTGGATTCCTGGTCAGGGCACATGCCCAGGTTGTGAGCCAGATCCCCAGTGAGGGGCATGCAGGAGGTGGCCAATCGATGTTCTCTCTCATTGATGTTTCTCTCTCTCTCTCCCTCTCACTTCCTCTCTCTGAAATCAATAAAGAAAAAAATTTAAAAAAAAAGAATCGTCAATGAAGTGAGCCATGCTCATTCCATGAAATTGTATGCAGATTTTTAAAAAATATATATTTTAGAAGAATATTTAATGATGAGAAAATGCTGGTAACATAATGTTACGTAAAGAAACAAAAAATGCATACACATAATAGCATAACTGGTGTGTCTATATATATCCACACATTTGCACATATGTACATATGCATGAACATGCGTGGGTGCACACACACATGCGCACATGTGAGTAAGTAACCCATATTACCTGGGTGAAAGAATTTCTCTGGTCCACAGGCCAACGCTCTAACCGCTGAGCCAAACCAGCCAGGACATGGGTAAAGGAATTTCTGATGGTTTTTATTTACTTTGTTTGTTCTCCTTCCCCAAAATTTCCACCCTGAACATACATATTTTTCCACCCTGAACATACATACATAGTATTTTGAAATCAAAGTTTTACAGGTATCTGCCCTTGCCTAAGAGAGCCCATGGACGTATCAAGAGCAAAGGTCCTCTCCTCCATCTCCAAGAAGGATAGCGCGGCAGAACGGGGCCGCGTTGTCCTCCCGAGGCCACCAGGCGTCCACCCTCCCTGGGATTTGTACCTACTTTTCCTTTAACCATTCCCCTGGGTTCACAGGAGTTTGCCATAGGGAGCTCCCGTTCGCTGTCAACAGATGGCACCGGTTAGGTCTCCACTTGCAAAAAGGGAGCGCTGGGGTATGGGAGGGCGCACCCTCGGTGCGGTCTCCACTTGCAAAAAGGGGGCTCTGAGGTAGGGGTGGGCGCACCCTCGGTGCAGTCTCCACTTGCAATAAATAAGGGGGCACTGGGATAGGGTGGGCGCACCCTCGGTGCGGTCTCCACTTGCAATAAATAAGGGGGCGCGAGGGTGGGGGGGCGCGGGGGGGGGGGGCGCGCCCTCGGAGTCATCGCGGACCGCTCCGGGTGGTGAGGACAGCGGCAGCAGCTGCTCGAAGCACCAGGTCCGAGGCGCAGAGCCGCCGGGTGGCGTCACGTCCGCCCCCCGACCCCCGTGAGCACTGCCCTCCGGGAAGCATGTGTTCCCGCGCGACCTGCCCACCCTCCGGCTCACCTGCAGGGACATGGTAGTGGCACGAAACCGCTGCCGCACTCCAGACGCTAATTTCCCGGAGACCGGCCAACGGCTCTTTAAAGGGCAGCGCGTCCCGCCCATCGGCTCCCGTTGGCCGTCGGCCCGGAGGGCGGGGCTGGAGTGGGAGTGGCACCCGAGGGGCAGGGGTGCCGCAGCGGTTCCCCTGGCCTCGCCGGAGGGTCCTCAGCTGCAAGTGCAGCTGCAACTGGAAAGGGAAAATGAAGGGAATTTAAATTTCTCCGCTCTTGGCTGCAACCCCGATTCTTTAAGAGGCTGTTTGCAGGGAATTCCAAGAGGTCTCCCCTGGGCACGGACCTCACTTGAGATTCTTTTTTTATATAAACCTCGGTCCTCTCCTAATTCCTAGAAACCTGGATGATAGGCAGCGTTTGTTCAAGCCTCTCACGTCTCTCCACCCGTCTCTAGACACACTCCTCCAGGAATGAAAAAGGCTGGTAGACCTCTTTTCTCCTCTTTGTAAAGCAAACAACTCATTTTGAACAAGTGCTGCAACCACCCTAACTAGTTTCCAAAGGCACAGGACTACATGCCTATTCCATCTGACCTCATCTGAAGGATTTTCAGCAAAGGCTGAACGCTCTGACTTACTTTTTTAAAGGATCATTCTTGCCCTGGCCGGTGTGATTCCATTGGTTGGAGTGTTGTCCTATACACTGAAAGGTCTCGGGTTCAATTCCCAGTCAGGGCACATGCCCAGGTTTCAGGTTCGGTCACTGGTGGAGGTGTGTACAGGAGGCAACCAATGTCTCTCTCACTTTCTCTCTCTCTCTCTCTCTCTCTCTCTCTCTCTCTCTCTCTCCTCCCTCCCTCCCCTTTCTCTGTCTCTAAAATGAATGAAAATATGTCCTCGGGTTAGGATTTAAATAAATAAATAAATGAAGGGTCACTCTTGTTGCTGTGCTGGAAACAGACTACAGGGAAACAAGGTGGGAAGCAAGATCCTACTGTCATAATAATGCAGGAAAGAGGGTGTCTCAAACTCAGGTGATAGCAGTGGAGGTTGTGAGAAGTAGTTCAGATTCTGGATATATTTTGAAAGTAGAGTCAACAGGAGTCCCTGATAGATTTTACATGGAGTGTGAAAGAAAAAGAGGAGTCAGGATAACTACAACATTTTTGACCTGACTAACTGGAAGGACCATAGGTGGAGTTGGTTTGGTTGGTGGCAAAGATCAGAAGTTCAGTTTTGGATATGCTACTTTTGAGATATCAGACATCCAAGTGGAGATGTCAAGTAGGCAGTTTGATATCTAAGTCTAGTCCAGGTTGGTATGTAAATCTGGAACTCATGGACATAGAGATAGTATATAGAATCTTGAGACTGGATGGCCCTAGAAACTGAACGTATGTAGAGGAGAAAAGGCAAGAGGACTGAAGATTGAGCCGTGGCAAATTCCAGCATTAAGAGTTTAGGAAGAAAAGGGAGAAGAAGCAAAAAAAAAATAGAGAAGTGGCCATTGAGGTAACAGAAAAAAAAACAAGAGAATGTGGTGTTCCAGAAACAGTCAAGAGAGAATAGCAAATGAGAAAGTATATTAGGTTAGATAAGGACTGGTAATTAATGATTGCATCAAGATCATTAATGACCTGAAAAAAAGTTTTAATACAATGGTGGAGGGCAAAGCCTGATTAGAGTGGGTTTAAGAGACAATATCAATAGCAATTATAGAATAGTTTTGGGGGGCTATTTGTTTATCTCTCCACCTATACCACACTGTCTTAATTATTAAATCCTCCCCATTTTGTTTTTCTTTAGGAAGAATTGTTTTTGGCACTTTGCTCTTCCATGTAAATTTTAACAAGTTTCACAAAAGAAAATTCTTGAATTTTTCTTGAAACTCTACATCAATTGGGTGTATCTTTATGATACAGGGTTTTACTATTCATGGCTCATACAACTTTTTCAATTTGTGTTATTTAAAGTTTTTAGATAAAGTTTTCTATTTTTCCCCATTGATGGTCTTGCACATCTCTTGTAGATTTAATTCTAACTATAATTTTTTTTTTAGTGGGAGGGAGAGAGAAACATCAACATGAGAGAGACATATCAAGTGGTTGCCACCCACACGACCCCAACTGGGGCGGGGACAAACTGCAACCAAGGTACGTGGTGCCCTTAGCGGGAACCAAACCCGGACTCTCTGGTCCATGGGCTGATGCTCTAACCGCTGAGCAAAACCGGCCAAGGCAGTAACTATAATTTTTTATGATGTTGTAGATGGAGTCTTTATAATTTTTTTCTTTATTAATTTTTTTTAGAGAGAGAGGAAGGGAGAGGGAGAGAGAGAGAGATGGAAACATCAATGAGAGAGAACTTTGGCTGCCTCCTGCATGCCCCACACTGGGGATATGGCCCACAACCTGGGCATGTGCCCTGGCCTGGAATTGAACTGGAGACCTCTTGGTGTATGGGTTGACCACTGAACCACACTGATTATAGATGGAGTCTTTAAAACTATTTTATTGTAATTGGTATACAGAAAGGGAATTGATTTTTGTATACTGATTATCCAGCAACCTTGATAAATCTTTTAAGTTTTCATTATTTTTCAGTCAATTATTTTGGGTTTTCCATATAACATAGTCTATGAATAATGACAGCTACATTTCTTCCTTGCTTCTCTGTACTAGCTGGGACCTCCAGTATAATAATGAATAGGAGTAATAATAGTGTGCACCTTCATTTTGTTTCTTACATGTAATGTGTACAGTGTTTCACTATTAAATGTGATATTTACTGCAGGGTTCCTTTGTTATTTATAATTTGGTAAAAATTTGTTTTCATGAATAGATATAGAATTTCAGCAAAAGGATTTTTATGTTTCTATTGGGTTGATCATATGATCCTTCTTTAATCTTTTAAGAAGATGGCTTACATGAATTGATTTTCAGTTGTTAAAAGAACCTTGCATTTCTTATTAATCTCTAATGGATCTTGGTGAAATGTCTTTTTTAAAATACACTGCTGAACACTTTACTATATGTTGAGATTTTTTTTCATCCATGTTTATGAATGACATTAGTTTGTGAACTTCCTTTTTCAGACTGTCTTTTACTTTTAATTTTTCATATCACCATTATGCCAGCACATAAAATATTCTCCCACTTCTGTATTCTAGAAAAAATTGTGTAGAATGGAGAAAATTACAAATGAGAGCAGATCATATATCAGCCAATGACACTTCTGCTGATTTTCTTCTTGCTGCCTCCCTCACTTCCAATCCCTGAGGTTAAAAACCACTTTCAAAGTACAAGGGAAGCCTAACTACTTACCACATCCATTCTCCAACTTGCAGGCAGAGTAAGTGTGCCCTGCAGTACAGACGGCATCGTGCACTCTTGGTTGGGTCCACAAATCAGTGGTACCCAGCTCTCTCGTGATAAACTCCAAACTCTTTTTGGCATCAGAGGTGGCTCTAGTGCTGATGAGGCCTTATGTAGAAGTCACCTATGAGATTTTCCCAGGAAGAACCTGTTAAAAGTTCTAAAATGTTACCAAACTGCCAGCTAGAAACACCAGCGCCCCGCCCCACAAGCACAGAACTGCAAGTGCAGCACAGCTGAGGCCAGGTGGCCCAGCGCAGTCAAGTGGCTTCTGCAGTTTCGCCAAGGTGGCAGCCCCTCCTCTTTTCTCCCTGGGTTTTTTTTTTTGTTTGTGTTTTTTGTTTGTTTGTTTGTTTTGTTTTTGTTTGTACGTGCCCCTAGGGGAACCGAACTGGGTCTCTCTGGTCCGCAGGCCAATGCTCCAACCGCTAAGCCAAACTGGCCAGGGTACCCCTGGAGGCTTCTGGCAGCCTTTTAAAGGTTAAGCTGCGATGGTTTGGGAGGCAATGCTCTTGAAGGAGCAGTGCAGGCTATCGACTTACCTGAGACATGGCTGTGACCGTTTGGACGCCTCCGTCCTCCAGTCAGCGAGGGCTGGGGTACGGACGTCCACAGTGCAAGTTTCTTGCTCAGCTCATAATGCCACTGCTTCGTTCCAGCACCTGGCCGATCTCCTGCAGCTTCTCACTGGGCTCCATGAAGTTCAAGCTTTTCAAACTCCATGCTAAGGGTAATGAGCGAGATTTGACCTCTGATGTTTCATCGCTGACTCAGCTCCCATTCAGTGAGGTTTGAATGTCACCCTAAGGTTTCTGCTCTCAGATTCCTTCTGGCAAACCTGAAACACAGATGTGTCGATATAAACCGAATCTGAACCTGCTGAAGCAGCTTCCTGTGGCCCCCTGCTGACCCTGGCTGGTGTCAGAGGGAGAGACTGGGGTGGCTCATCGTGTACTCTTGGTTGGGTCCAGGCAGATGGAGTTTCTTTTGGACTCACCGCGGGGAAAGGGTCGGGGATTGTTTTTTTTTATGGAGCTCTGCTACTGCTTCCAATGTGTAGGCTAAAGAATAAGTCAAAGGGACACATGTGTGAGGCTGTGCTGGGCGGGGGCACCTCACAGGTCCCCTCTGTGGGGCACAGCCCTGACGCCTGTTTGTATCCCTGGTGCAGGTGGGCCTTGTGGGAAGATTGGGGGTGGGGTGTAGCGTGGAGACCCCAGCCCTGGCAGGATTAGGCTCTTTGCCCTTCTGCATGGAGGCCTGGCCAAGGCTGGGCCACTGCAAAGGGGGGGAATTCCTGCATCAATTTGTGCTGGTGGAGAAGTTGCTGTTCCTGGAGATGAGGGGGCTCTTCCTCTCCAGGGGACTAAGAAATTGGTAGGTTCCTTGGCTCTGCTGCTGCCCTTCCACCCTGAGCTCTGGTCCTCCTCAGGTGACTTATGTTCTGCATTACTCCTTTGAATATTCTTAGAACAGGAATGAAAGGTGGGAAGAGCCAGCTTGTGGAAACACCACTGCTGTGTGTTGGCAGAGACTCCATGTACATTGTGAGGTAGGGCCAGCGTGCTGCTATTGGTTGGACCTGCTGAAGCCTGGGTTTCAGGGCAATGATGTGCCCCACCAGCTCAGCTGTCTTATAACTCAAGAGCAATGTTTCTCTCTCTCTC